AATATTTTCAATAAACTAACCAAACACCTGAAAATGATGAAAGGGAAATGATTTTCATGGAAAATTACTTCCACGGAAAATATTTTCCCAAGGAAAACATTTTACTTCCAACCAAACAGACCCTAAATTATTATATACTTAATATCTCAACAATTGTTTATTTCGCGTTTAGATCCCAACAACTATTATGAGAGTAAGGTTCATAGTTGGGTCTTGATTAATTATTGAAATTTAGTGGATTAGTGACATTTACTAGTTCAACAATTTAAGCATTAAAGGTGAAAGATGGGAAGTTAAAGAGCACGGAGGAGACTCGACGATAAATCTAGGTAGGTGATTTAAGATTCAAGAAAAAGGTTGAGCCTAATGTCGATTTTGGACGTGAATCGATAAAAACTTTCTCACAATTCTAACAGTTGATATTTCACCCAATGAATTCTAGATTTTGATGATATTTGTTCCTTAGGTGGTGTGGCATGTATCGCAAAGAAACAAAAATATCCAATTTCTATTTGGCACGAGGCTCTGATGGCTACGAGTTTTTCATTGAAGGTAAAGTTTTGAAAATCACACATGACGAGATAGTTCTAAAAATATAAAGAAATATGATGATTTTATCATTTGGTTGCCTCAAAAGTTAGAAATAGAGATCACAAAAGTGAATTTCAAGTTACAAGTAATGGTGAAAAGAAAATCCTGTAGATAGTCTTTCAATTGAGGTATTTTCTCGCTAGTCAACAAGAAATTAGACTCGGAGTAATTACACATGCTTATTTGGCAATTTAATCAATTTGGTATCAGGACTATTTTGATTTGGATGTATAGTTCAATACCGTATTATTTGATAATATAAAGGAACGAGTTCTTTGGATATAGGATTGGTAATGGAGATGAATCACATTAAATTTTGTATATTTTTTATTTTCATACTTGTGATTTATTTATTATAATATTATAGTGTACTTAATGTTTCAATAACTATTTATTTTGCATCCGGATCTCAACAGTGAATAAGTACACTTATAGAAGTACTTTTGGGTAAGCAAGATCCCGAAAGCAAGTATTTTATATAGAATAATTGATTAACAAAACAATGATCATGAAATATAGACTTTGTATGGATTAGGTGTTTTTGAAATTGTTTTTCAAAAATTTTACCGTAGCGGTGTATATGAAAAACTTTTACTATAAATAGTTCGTTTGAATTTGGTATTTTTTATGATGTATTTTAGGGTATTTTTAGAATTTAAAATTTTTAAGTATTTTTTATAAATTTGTTAAAATAACCGGCTATCCTCCTCCATCATTGCCACCATCACTTCCCTCTTCCTCTCTCTCTCTCCCTCCCTCCCTGCTCCCATTTCCTCCTTTCCCTACCATTAAAAGGGGACCATAAAGGAAAGAATAGGGGAGGGAAGAGGGTCGGTAAGGGACGGGGGATGAAAGGGAAGAGGTGGAGGAGAAGGAGGAGGAAGGGAAGGGAAGGGAATGAAGACGAAAAGGAAAGAGAGGGAGGAATAATAGGGGGTAAATCTTATTATTTTTTTAATTTTTACAAGTTGTATTTGAGATTGCGTGGTTTTGGAATTATTTTTAGAGTTTATAACCATAAACTCCACAGACAAAAATAACTTGTGAGAAAAACACTCAATCTAATCTAATCTAATATAGAGGAGCGACAAGGTCATGCAGGTAAAATTAATTGCATCCTAATATTGCTGTCTTAATTGGTAATCTGTCAATATGTGATTGGGATTAAAAGCGAAAGCATCTTTGTGACTTGACAATGCATTGTATCTCCTTTGTACGGTGATTTTCACATTTCCTTGACATTTGCAGCCACTAATATGAATTATTAATCGAAGCAAGCAAATTACCTCGTTAAGCAACCGACAGAAAGCTAGTGCCCTAGAGTCTATATCTAACTTTTTTCTTTTTCTTTTTCTTTCTGAGCGACTCTAATTAACTTGTTAAGCTCGCCATATTCCTAATTGGTTTGATGTGCTTATCGCTGCATATTCTATGGCAATTTTTTGAGTCCCTGTGCTCCAACCACCGTACCCGCCCCTAATTTCAGCACAGGTTATTGGTCTATTGCTTTTAATTTTAAAAACCTATTTCGGTTCTTATCTTCAAAATGGTGAAATTATCCGTCTTCAAATTGCTTGTTGAGATTGTTTAGCCTACCATATAAGTTGTCCCAGTCAGTTTTAGCCTCTAAATTCTAAATTGGGATGCGCTTTAGTTCTTAAATTATACTCGAATTCTTACTTTGGTTTCAAAAACCCTTTCTTCTGAGAATCCAAACATGGCATTAATCCCAAAAACTAAGCTTCCATAAGTAGCATATATGGTTCTGCAATTAATTGGGATATTGTTCTCAAGCAATAATAATAAGATTGCTGCTTCATAATCAAACCACCATACAGATTGTATTGAGACTAGTACTGAGACTACACAGCTAGAAGTAAGTTCAGGTGCCAAAATGTCCAGAGGATGAAAGTTCAGATGCCAGATCAACACAAATAGAAGTTCAAGGAGCAAAGCACCGCAAAGCTGTTTTTTATTGTATTTTTTTTTTCACGAAATAAGCTTAATAATGAAGTACATGAATCCAAAAAACCTCAACCGTTTTGTCTGCTGAATAAAAAACGTGTTTCACCAAACAACCTTAACCTAAAACCAGAATCTTTAAGAGCATGAATCTAATCGAAAACGAAAAAAATAAAAAAGACTGCATCATTGGAACGAAGAACGTTTGGAGATAGAATTACACTAGAACACGCAGACATCTTCTGTTGGTAGCTTAAAGTAGCTAGTAGTACTTGAAACTCTTGATGCGAGTTCAAATTTCTACTCTTGCCCAAAGCCTCAAAATCAAACTTCATTAGCTAGTTTGAAATATATATGAACCATAGAGTAACGCACACTCTTCGTGATCTCTTGATGGGATCCTTAATTAGTCCCCCACAAGACTTGGATCCATATTTATGGTGAGAAGAAATAGGGCAACTAATGATGGAATGCCCCTATCTGGTTCATCTTCATTAAGTTAATCAGAAGAAGCAACTTGCTTAATAAAGGAAGTGGAGACCACTGCACTCATTCATTCACTAAAACAAGGACAAACGAATTAAAAGAAGGGGTTTAAACATTCTTTTGATCGATTACTATTTTAAAGCATCATAATTAAGGATTTAGCCCTTGATTACTATTTTGAACCAACAAAGTTGTATGTAATTTAACTTTAAATCTTACATTCACACACTTGAATTAAAAGATAAGCAAATGGACGCTGGCAACTCATGTCATGATGCTCCATGACTAAGATGAATTTCAGATGTTAGGTCTCGAAATCATCAGTATTTATTTATTTTTGGAATTGGAATTTTACATGGTAACCAAAAAAAAAAAATCAGTGCGGCAAGTATACAATAATGAATAATTTTATATAGTGACAAAAAAAAATGCTCATGTTTCACTTTTCAAAAGAAATGTGGCAAAAGTCAATTAGACAGATGTATCAACTTTTTTAACTGACTTAAAATTTTGGCAAGTATTATTGGAAAACTCAGAAGGGTCGCCATCTTCTTTAACAGAACTAGCGGGGTCTTAATTACACACGAACTGGCATGGATGAGAGTTAGGGACCTCCGGACACGAACCGAAAGCTCTTTTAGCACTAAACAATACAGACAACTCAATAAACCTTTTGCAAATGATGATTACAGACCACTGATGACCGGACAGACCTATTATTGGAAGACATGACCCGCTGTCGAAAATGGGGATGTAGCTAAGGCCTGGGGGTACCCACCCCGCGGGCTCCCAGACGAAGGAGGTAAGAAAAATAGAAAAAAAAAAAAAAAAAAAAAGGACGCACGACAAACAAATCTTATGCTGCTGTCATGATGTAGACGCCATTAATCAGAAAACGGAGCTAGCCTCTCTTGTTTAGTAGTTAATTAGTACCCTTGACTATTGTTGTTAAGGAGTACTTATTGTGATTTGACCTATTTTTTCTAGTTCTTTTATTCTTTGCTCAAGTCCCTCGTCAATTCTCATAGTACGTGTTTATTTCGTTACATGACCTAGCTAGCTCTTTAGTTTGGAGTTGTGACATTATTAAGAGGTACAAACAACTAACTTTTTATTTTTATTTTTATTTTTACCAGACACACAAAAAACAATAAAATTTGATAAGAATATTCATTCCATGTCAAAAAAAAGTCCTACTACAATGCCGACAATGCAGACAATTAATCACCATTATTCGTCGTGTAAAACACTTGATTGTTAAGAATATCAATCACACTTGATTATTCGTCATGTAAAAGTCCTACTACAACGGACGTAGTACTACTGATTTATATATATATATATACTCATTTCTTGACTTTGTTACGTATTAATCAACACATAGCAGGGAATTAGTCGGGACTCGTAAGGATTGACCCGGACACTTCCTGTGTCGACAAAAAAAAAAAAAAAAATCAACGCATAGCATACCGAAAGATACCTGTCGAAATTTAAGAATTTGCCCTTATCTCAAACCAAAAAGAAGCCAAAATAGTACACACGTAAATTAGAGAAACCAGATTGCTGTAGCTTTTATTCACAACAGCATTATTCAAGCTAGTAATCAATGTGAACGGTCTCTGTGTTCTATTTACATCATTTCGTTATTTTTACTCTAGCAGAAAGCCCAAATGCAATCACAACCGTGAACCCCAAAAAATCTAAATTATGACGATCATCAAGGATCAATACACATGCAGTTCCCTCCCCATGGATCTGCCAGTTTTGATCGATGATCTTTAGGACGATCCGTACCATCCCAGGTGGGACCGATGACCTTTGCATGGATGCCTCGTGGTACAGTCGAAGACCTATTATAAGACAGTCAGGGGCATCCAGAGAGCAGTTGCAGCTTTTACCTCAGATCTCTAATTTGGTCCCTCTTGGCCATAAGAGAGGGGGGGGAGGGGGGGGGTGCTTTTCCCAGCATTAAATTCACAACCTCTGTGTCCTCTCACTTGATATCATCCATTCCAGAGATTCTACGCATTTTTTCTGAGGCCGTTTTAGGGCGGTAGCAAGTAGGGCTGCTGCTTATCTTTGATTTCTTGTTGCTTTGTCAGTTTTTGAACGAAAGCATATAAAACGACGGCGATACTACTGTAACTCACTGCACCCTCCTGCTTTTAGCTTCGAGAGAAACTGAAAAAGAGGAAGATCATGGGACACCATTCTTGCTGTAACAAACAGAAGGTGAAGAGAGGGCTCTGGTCTCCCGAGGAAGACGAAAAACTCGTCAACTACATTTCTACATATGGTCATGGTTGTTGGAGCACTGTTCCAAGACGTGCTGGTAAGGTTTTGTGTGTGTGTGTGTGTGTATTTCTATCGATTCCAACACACCCCCCCCCCCCCCCCCAACCCAAAAAAAAACCCCAATTTAGGATGCTCAGTATTCTTTTTTTTTTTTCAACTATTTGCAATTCAAATCTCAGTTCTTTCATTTATCTACTTGTTTGTGGAAAGAACTTGAATATTTCTTGCATGAAACTTGTGAATAATGTAGAATCGGTTGATGTGCTACTGTTTTGACTAGTTTTTCATGGTGCAGGGCTGCAAAGATGTGGAAAAAGTTGCAGGCTAAGGTGGATAAATTACCTAAGACCAGACTTGAAAAGAGGAAGTTTCTCTCCACAAGAAGCATCTCTTATCATTGAACTTCATAGAGTTCTGGGCAATAGGTACAAGTTGATGAACTCCATAATTTCTTTTTGGGATGAACTTTATACTTTTTTTTTTTTGGGTCAAAAGGATGAACCCTATACTTAACTATATATGACTCGGAATAATTGTCGACTTTGAGATGGCGAGGCCTTGATTATTGCTACTTTCAGTAATTTCATCATCGTAATGAATGAATGAGCTCAATTTCATGCAAAAAGACATTTTTGCTTTTGTACAGGTGGGCTCAGATAGCCAAGCACCTACCGGGAAGAACAGACAATGAAGTGAAAAACTTTTGGAATTCTAGCATCAAGAAGAAACTTGTCTCTCATCATGGCCTTCCTGACCTATGCAACTTTCCTCCCAATCTTTCAAGTGCTTTTGCTCCTGGTGCCTCTGTGGAAAGTTTCTTCTCAGTTAATGCAAACCCTAATCTGATCCCAGGTGCTCATTTCGATAACTTGTACATTCCAACCATGGCATCAACACTGCAAGGGTTTGATCATAACATTCACAATGATATCATCGGAGTTGATGAAATGAACAATTTCCCAAATTTGGTCCCCGTGCCCACGGTGACTACTCCAATGATAGACTCTCCCATATGTTCATGTGATCCGGTATGGCCGGCGGGCAATCTGCAGTCTGACAATCATCATCTTGATCCTGCACTTGCTTCTGCCGCTTTATTTAATGCATCAAACGTTCAACTCATCCATCCCAAAATGATCATTCAATCTTATAACGATGTTGACGATGTACTAATGGCTGATGGGACGCCTAAAATTTGTGAAATCTTGGAGGAGGGTGATCAATATAGCCTACCATCTTTATCTGCCGATACCATTTCTCAAGAAGTTGATCCAATTGCTGCTAGTCTCTCCAGTTTCCTGCCATCTGCATCTGATCCATGTGCCCAGATCGAGCCTGGAAATCGGCAGTTACTGGAAAGCATTGAATCACTCGTGTCAATGATGCCACCGTCTTCCTCTTCATCTTCATCATCATCGCTGTCATTGTCTCAATGTCTCCAGTACTACCATGCAGCCAATGCTTATGAACCCTAGTCTTCCTTCAGGCTGGGGCTGCTTAGTTACCAAAGCAATAATAATATTGCTAAGGTTGCTATTCTGAGAAGGCTGGAGTCAGCTGATACTTAGTGGAGTAATGCATTCTTTTTGGCAGAGAAATCCAAACAAGGATCTGTATTCATATGAATGGTATATGAATTTTCAGGATTTGTAAGTCGTTATTCGCCATTCGGTCTTGGTATGTAATGCTCAACATATAATAATTCTCTTTTCTCAGGTACCTTTTTTTTTTTTTTTTTTTGGTTTATGGGAGAATTCATATGAAGCCATTTCACTAGGATAGTATATCAATTTTCATGATTTGTCAGTCGTTTCCCTGAGGAGCATTCGGTCTTTGGTATGTGATGTTCAACATAAAATAATTCTCTTTTCTCAGGTATATATATATATATATATTTTTATTTTAACGTTTCTCCCATATGATATGATTTATTAATTACTGACACAATCGATACTGATCATGTGGAATTGTTGTCAGAATTAGGAAGTGATGAATAGTGTACAATTAGTGTGTTAACAGTTGATAATTACCAGTGATCCATGACTCATCTCTTTCATCAGCTATGAATCACGGATTGCATTATGATGACGCACATTCTATTCGTTTAAAAAAACTGTAAATGGGGAGAACATAAAAGTAAAAGCAAATGTTTTTTAGGGCTTACGAAGTTCTGAGTTCCCAGTCTTAATCAATCAATCCAAGTCTTACAAACTTTTGGGTTTCAAGCCGTCAAAAAATGGAACCCAAAAAAAAAAAGAGAAAAAAAGAAAAACCAATAATGTGATCAATCATTAATATAAAACTACACAAAAAACAAAACTCTGTCATTTACAATTGGGAATATTTTGCAGCTAGAGGGGTTGTCAGAATTTAAGCTAAACGTAATCAAACAACTCTGAATTTCTTTCTTCAGAAAAGGGGTTTTTTTTTTTTTGGAAATTTTGGAAGATAGAGTTGATTTACCAATATTCCTATCTCATGGCTAGTTTTATTTTATTTTTTTTTTTAAAAGTTACGTATCCTACCACACCAGAATCAAAGATTTACTAGTAGTAAATAACAAATTCGTTTGGTCCTGCTTTTAAAACGTAAAGCGGTTTTTTCCCTGTTTCAAAGGGGTACATCTTTGGAATCAAAAGAAAAGATACCACCCCGCCCACAAGATAAGGATAAAACAAGAACAAGAAGAATTGATTGCTGAAAAGAAGATAATTCCAATTGCATCAAATTAAGGTAAATTTTCTAAAACTGGCGTAAGGGGTACGAAGTAATACCAACTTATAACCCTCTTGGCATTTAGTACTCTTTTTACCTCTCCTTACACAAATTCTTCACTCATCAAGTAAGAGACAAGAGGTCCTTCTGTCCTCCTATTCACGCTATTTTCATGTAACCCTGGGGCCCCAAGAATATGTAATAATTTTACTACTTTAATTGCAGATTTCCACACTAGTGAGTGGGCCTCTAACCACCGGCCTCTGGACCGGTGGCCACCACCGCTTCCTTTAAGGCTTGGTGGGGTAGGAGGTCAAGGATTCAACCCTTGCATCTTATCAATTGTCATAATATGTGGCTTCTCTTAAAAATTCAGATGGATGTGTAGTGCATCCATCTGATCCGATGGTGATTCAGTCGATATCAGTCTCCGTAGATTCAATTGAACCTCCCTCCCCCTTAAATGAAGATAGAATAGGATTATATAGATAAAGTGACAATTGACCAAAAAAAAATTAAAAAAAAAAAGAGTGAGAATCTGATTTCTTTCTTCCTTCTAGTTTTGTCCAGTCCAGCAGCTAAAAATATGGCAGGACAAAAAAAAAATCGATTGAAAAAGATAAATCTGAACGACAAGAGTTAAAACACCCGTATTACAATCCACGGGCAAGAGCGTACGAGGGGCAAATTTGATTGCACAAAACAGGTTGACCCGGTAAAATTTTCCAGAAATTGGAAGTCCTCGGGCACGAGACTGATTTTTTGGCAGAGAGAAATACGTGCGACTCCACAAACTGGGCCACAAGTCTTCGCAGCGAAGATGTCCTGTCCTCGCAAGTTACGTCAGAGGCGCGCTACTGCATAAAGATTGACCAATTAAGTTTGGTACAGTTTGGAATATATGACGAATTGAGTTGGAATCAAACAAAAAGTGCTGGACCACAAGGTCCCCAACCGTGTACACTTGGGCCATGGAAATCATATTGGCCTCAAATGGATTAAGCAAGAAGATTGCTGCTCTAGCGCATTTCAAGGGTCTTATTTTCGAACAGCACCATTCAGCTCATTACTAGTAGTTTTTGTCTTCTATCCAGCTTTTACTGGGTCAATATCGACTTTTGATTGATCAAGATTCAAGAACTCGAAAACAAGGGACGGACCAACTTACTTAGCAAAAACAGGGGACATGGATGCCTATTTGCAATCTGAAGGCAAAAAAAATGTGTTCAAATCCCGGGTTCCAAAAATGTTAAAAAGGGGGCAACCAGAGCAATGCTGCAAAATTTTCCTGTAGTTCCTATTGTGCTAGATGAGAGGATGCCAACTGCCATGCCTATAAAGCTCCGTACCTGCAATAGCAATTGACCGAGATTCCACATGCCATGGGACTGCTTAATCATGTAGTCCTCCAAATGCAAAATTGGGCACTTCCGTCAAAGAAAAATCGTTTAACACTGAACTTCTAAACTATCTGAGTTATACACACAATTATTGAACTTGATGTGATGCCTGCTATAATGTGTAAAGACAATCGCTCAAGTATAAAGTCCATAATATTTTTGGTTTTCCCGGCTTCAAAAGAATCTGCTTAAGCATAAAGAAGTTGTAACACCATAAGCAACAGCTGTCAGATCTTTTGAGGCTGAAGTAACCATGCAAAGCAACTCATCGCTCTATTTGCTTAGTCTTGCAATGAAGCAACACAACTGTCGGACCTATATCTGCTATTTACTGAAACAACGGAAAAAGGACAACGGAAAAAGGACAACGTTCCTAAGGTGTGATTCTTGCCCGACCCTTAGCAATTCGTCGAGCAATTACTCTCTGGCCACCCTTAGTTGCTTTGCTGCTCATGCAATAAAACAAAATTTTCATCAGTAATTGTGCTTATTCATAGTCAGCATTATCAATCAAGCAAAACTTGTCCTTCCATCGTCATAGAAACCCTAATTTGAGCATGAAATTCCTAGATATTTTCCCTGTGCCTGTTAAAATTGGAACCTTTTTATCTTTAAAAGCTCCATCCTTTTAATCTCAAAGAGTGCAGGATAACTTTACACACTCCACATTCCGAATTACGGCCATGGCAAGGAAGTGTATCCTAGCATTAAATTAGAACAAGCTGCATTCTTTTGAGATAGATTCGTAAATCAGGTAAAAGACAAACTGAAGAACAAGGAATCATGGATAGCACTTCTCAAAAGTTACATACAGGACTCAACATGAGATAACTTGAGAAGGAAAGTGAGAGGGAAAAAAAATTCACATAAAAGTGAGCACGTCATGTGCGTCTCGTTTCACGCTCTCTCTATGTAGAGGGGTGTGTGTGTGTGTGTGTGTGTGTGTGTGTGTGAGAGAGAGAGAGAGAGAGAGAGGAACGAGGAACATACCGTGCCAAAAATCCATGGTTCCTCTTACGCCTAATGTTGCTTGGCTGGTAGGTTCTTTTCGGAAATAAAACCATTGGCTCAGATGACAAAGAATCATTTCCTATGCAGAGAGAGAGAGTGAAGCACCAGTACATGCAGATCAATTATGACAAAGAAATAATAAGCAAACAGCTCTATTAGACAACCACAAAAAATCGCTCAACGGACTACGGGGAATTACTACCAGATACAAACATGGTACAAATTTAAAGGCTTTTTCATCTTTGTTCCTATCACATAGATTGCGTGATTTCGACAACATTTGTATTGGGCTTCAGCAAAGGTACTGTAACCAGTAATAGAGGTCCAGCAAACTTCGAGTGAAATTTGCACCACTAAAAACATGATTGAACTTCCTTCACAGAAATTAAGATGGTATTCCCCTTCCAGAAATTTCAAGGCTAAGAAAACATTTTAACAGATGAAAAAGTTCGAACATACTTGTAAACAGATATATTTCCTACATAAGGCAGTCTCAGATATCCCAACGTAGGTTAGCTATTCCTAGTGGCTATGCAGCGTTTTAACCAAAAAAAAAAAAAAAATGCAGGTAGGCTATACATGAAGACTAAAGTTTATGGTGAGGTACCTGTTTCGTGTTAATGCTCTGTTTTGAGTAGTCAAATTCAATAACAGAACTTATTGAAAATCATAAATACACCAAATATCATGTCTTTTTTCAGAACAGTTCATAATGTGATAAGAATGTAACTGAAACCGTTGCCAATGCCAAAATATTATGACAATTAGCAACATTTGGAGTTTCATAAATTGTGGAGGAGAATCAAAACCCATCACTGAAGTTTCAATATTTAGCTCAATTGAGGCCTTCTATCTCATAAAGACAAGTTAATCGAAAGAAAACTTAAAACTTTACATAGCACCAATCATGAGAGTGCAGCACGTGTATTGTCTCAATTTCTGTATCATCTCCTTCTAACCTAAAATTAGGATAAAGGTCCCTAATAAATCCACATAGTATTTCCACGCACCATTTCTCATCTCCTATTTCCACTAAACAGCATCTGTCCAATGGTGTTGAACAAATCCCCTCCATTCAACCTTCCCGCTCTCCTACTCTAACCCACCCCTTCCACCCCAAACACCAAAAAAAAAAACCACCAAAAAAAAAAAAAGAGGAGGCGAAGAAAATCAAATTGAAATTAAAAATAACGCAAGGGAAACAAAGGGGCCAAAAAACACAAAAAAGAAGGGATTTTTACCATCAGGGAGAAAGAATGGAAGAGAAGGAAGGCCACAGGGATGTAGGAAGCCTTGAGAAGAGAGCTTCTTGATTGAGTCGGCGTCGTACTGATGCAGAGGGGGAAGGGATGGCGAGCAGAGAGACGGGAAAAGCTTCGGCACAATGTCGATGTCTAGGCTCTGAGTTGTGATGAGCTGAGTCGAGGTCGAGTTTTGACGGAGAGATGGATTTGCGAACCGAGTCATGAGAGAAAATCCGGTGCGAATTAGGGCTTTAGAGGAGGACATTTCTACTAAACCCGTGTAGCAGATTTGAATTCTTCTCACTGAAGTGTTTCAAGAGAGCGGAGAGAAACAGTACAAGACAAGTCTATATATATGGGTTTGTTTATTTTAGCCTTTCAGAAAGGGGGAAAGGATAGAGCAGTTCTAATGTTTATTACTTTTGCTTTCTCCATTTCTTTAACAAAAATACCCCAAATTTACAGGTAGATCAAATTGTTATTCAAAAATTTCCAGGCCTCCAATTGTGCTTGTCTAAACTACAGAAATAATATGTTTATTTGAGAATCAGAAAAATATGTATCCACTGGGATTTTTATTTCCTTCCGTGTATTTTTTGTTGGAGGAAGGAAGGCTTTTTTAACTCTCCAGATCAAAAACTCTTAATAAACTACTTTTCATAAAGCTTCCGCAAAAAAATTAAATTAAAACTCATCGGCTACATCTGTTTGGCACTACTCATCATATCATTTCTGACTTGGAATTGTGTATGATTTCCCCGGAGCAGAACATTGGACACTGATAAAACTGATTCCTTCACCATACTATACATGTCTGCAGCAGCAGCAACTCATCAAAAGTCATGCTGGCAAAGAAACAGTTGGCACAGACAGAATGCCAAATAAAATCCAAACAATCCAAGTAAACAACACTAAACCAAATAAATTAAGGGTGCGATCATTCGAACCTGACTGTTTGCAGTTACATTGTGCTACCACAATTACAATACAATAAACCAACTCTCCTTCCTCACCTTAAAATTTTAGAGGGGAAAAGAAGAAATTGAGAAAGAAAGAAAGAAAACCTACAATGCGACTTTTACAGTAGTGTGATAAAGATACAAGCTGACAACAGGCACTTCAGCTGTGCCAGCTGTATCAATCAACACAGGAAGCCATCTGCTCCACAAGACAAACAAATGGACTAAGAAACTTGGTTCCAGAAGAACCTATCAAAAATATGAGACCAAATAAAATTTAGAACAAAATTCAGGTCGAAACCACAGAGCAAGTTGCATGACGACTAAAGCGGCATCGTCTTCCGATATACACAAAATCCCACTAATGCTGTCGACTTTAAGCAAACTTCACTGGCCAACTTTCAGTGCTCTGGAAACCCAATCAGAAGCAGCCACTTGAGTTTCCGACTCTACTTGCGATTGAGGAAATACAGGAGTGATGGCTATCTGTTAAGAAAGACCAAAGTTCTACATCAAAGATAGTCAAGCATGTGCAACAAAACCACCAACCAAGCGTGCAAATGCAACGTTAACATGAAATCCTCCATTTCTCTTTCTGAACTTGAAGAAATGATGTCAAAAACTAAACCACTGCATCAACAGTAGACAAAGTACTAGCATAAAACACAGAGAAGCGCTGTACTTACGAAGCCATTTTCAAGCGCTCTGAAGTCCAGATCCTCATCTTCTCCTCCCTGATCTTTATCGAGGAACTGAAATATAGATAACTAGCCAAATTAATGACGGACAACTACACGAAACCATTCTAGCATAGACACAGAAAAATACATCAAATGAATATTCCAAGGAAGGGTATGCAGACACAACTTAACCAAGACATGAAATCACAAACAAGGAAAAGCAGCTGGATGAAGAATTCTTATCATAAGCAATATGTACATGTCAGACCATTGAAGGTGCGTTTAGAATTGATCATATCTATCATTACTTAATATTAGATTTATCAAAAAAAAAAAAAAACTAGTATTTCACAAAAAGACACATTTGCATTTTGGGTATTGTTTATGATCGCACATCATCTCCAATAGTCCAATTGACGTAGCCTTTATAGTCTGGAAAGTTCCTATTTCTGAAACCCAAATTCAATTTCGCTTCCAAACATACTAAAACCCATGTAAACCACATATATCAAGCCACTAAAATTTAGAGCTATACTCAACAACACTTAGATATTGTGCTTAAATGCAATGGAAATAGTATTACCTCCAGCCTGAAATATCTCAAAGTCCGATTGGAATCAGATTTCCCGGCAACACCAACTGATTCAACCACCTCAACGTTCTTCTTCTGTGTGCCCAAACGGCGAGCAGCACCCTGACAAAGTTGAGAAAGTAAACCACTTAATAGATGTCCACAGATAATGCCAAAGTTCAAAGGGTGTAATACCAACTCATAGCAAAGCATACTCACAGCAGCAGAAGCATCCCGGCTGAGTTGAGCAAGCTGCATACCCAAGATCTGTTGATTGGACATGAAACGTCCAGAAGATGGATGCCTATTTGATGAAACTGCTTGCCAATTAAGTGTAGACCTCCAGAGACTTTGTTTTGCCAATTTGAACCCCTGTAAAGCAGTTTATAAGTAATTCGAATGTCGGTGACAGATTTAAATAGATTCATGCTTCAGTTCTACTTTATTAAATGCTAAGGGCCCAAGCTACAAACTAAGGTTAGGCTCCAAAGTGCAAACCAAGGTCTTCAATTCTTGAAGCTAAAAGGCCTTATTTTTTCTTTTCCTACCCAGGGGGAAAAGAAATTATGCAAATTCACTGCAAGAGGTGGCGTGCATGGATGTGCATGTACAAATGAAGAAGTATAAAAGTTTTACAAAAACAGTGCTACAACATGCTCAACAAATGAAAATTGGCATACATAAGCTTCATGTTTTGAGTAATGCAAAACAACATTTTCTGTTCACAGCTCCTCTTATATTTTGGAAGAAATCGAGTTATGGAAACATAGAGGCAAGATCGGGATGAATATTTACATCATTCAACCTTATCATACAAAATTGGTGATCAAGATCTTATTTGAAAGTGAAAAATCAAACACTTGTCTGCTTACATCAGACAGAGATATGACATTTGTGCCAAAGTCATGGTAATGTGCCTGAAGATACTAACAGCCCCAGCATCAAGTGTATGTTGTTCTTCAGTTTCCTAATGCCACAAACACTTTGCCCAATATAGAAGTCAGGATCCTACATGAGGTTATAGAACCAAACCTTGTTTGCCAAAGGAGATGTCGGAACTTCTATGTGGAAAGAGCAGTCCCTTGGAAAAACTCCCTTCTCTATGTCTCCAAAAGCTGCTTCTAGTACTGGCATACAGGCAGTAACAGCATCCTTGAAATCATTGTCCTGACTTTGATCCTTCTTCCTAAGATAAAAATGGTGAAATTCTTAACATCCAGAACAGCAAAAAAATAACAGTAAAAATGACAGTTTTACGAAACAATGGAGATACCAATTCAATGATATCGATAAAGATGGCACACCACTAATCAGTGCTTCTCGAGCTCCAGCAACAACACCTGAGTAAAGCCTGGACATCATCCCATGTAACCATGTCATGAGAATTATCTTTCTAGAGCATAACCAAAATTGGAGCACCAATTAAACTGATCGAGAAGTTCATGATGTGATATTCTAATTGTACTAATCAGCAGTGCACTAGCAGAATAAGATAGTCTGAAGACAATTTAGTTGATAGCCATGTCAAAAATCACATGAAAAGTAACAACTTACATGTGGTGGCCACAACTTGAACCCCTGTTGATTCCGCTAATTACCTAAAAGAAATTCAAGAAACAAAAAGGACACGCTGAAAAGATGAGCCCTTTGACGACAAAGTACAATCTAATAGAATCAATAAGAGCATAGAATACAATACAATACCAGCAAAGGCTTTGTCCAAGAAAATAAAGCCCCAGATAAAGCCAAAGAAACACAATCGGCAGGAGTCCCTGAGAGTAGAAAACATACACAGTCTGGAATAATTCTACTTACTACCAGGGAAAGTTCTAATCTTTTTGAAGTTTGCACAACTTTTTACAACTCTACGAATCAACATCAGGTCCACCGACAGATTAAAGTCATTGGACAACATCAATCCCGCATTATGTAACTAGTAAATCATAACTTGCAATGTTTCATAAATTAAATTGAGCTAACCACAAAAAGAAGAATAGAATAAAATTTCCATACCAGAAACTTCGTATGCGGTGGCACCATCAATTTCAGCTAAACTAACAGAAATAGTCTCTCTCATAGTCAACGAATGACCGGAGGCAGATTTATCCCTGTCAAAAGCACCAACAATCATCTAATCAAGACATAATTTTCTTCAATAAATCTTGAAGCAAGTGAGAATCACACATTTATGCACCCAAAGTTCACACACAAATGAAGTAAAACTACCAAAAAAAATTTCGAGCTCCAATAATAATAATATGAGCAAAATTCAAAAAAAAAATCATATTTTTACACTTATATCCAAAAGACAGAGCAGTCAGAGGCCTACCCATAAACAAGTCCCTAAAAATAACTAAATTAGAAAAAATAACAAGTACGCCGAAGATTCATGGGTGCAAACGCGAATACCGTAAAAGGTGAAAATCAATAAATCACACGTTCAAATAAAACCTCATTTACAACAAATAATTCGCAATCACACGCTGAGACAATTATATGAGAAACAAAAGTTCTAATTTTCTTTTAAAAGAAAAAAAAATTCTAACATAGAAATTTTAGCTTCCACATTTTCATAAAGGCATCACCAGGAAAAGGAAAATCTAAGATTCAAATTAAGGAAAGGCAGACTGACGATTGAGGGGCACAAACGTGGACATTGTAACGGCCTAGACAAACAAGAGCTTGAACCAAATGGGTAAGGCCAGGGGATTCAATCCCATCACCATTGGTGACCAAAATGACCGGTTTAGAGGTATCTGAATCAGGCTGGTCATCAACCCGGCCGGAATTGGAAGCAGACGACGAAGAAGGTTCCGCCGATTCATCGTTGACAGTGGGTGGTTTGGCGGCAGAGGAGGACTGTGATTGTGGGTCCGGGTCATCCGCACCCTTTCTCTTAAGGAGCACCTCCTGCAAATTGGACACCAGCCCAGGTGGCAAAAAGTTGTTGTTGCTGTTCTTCACCGCGGACGACGTCGTCGTCATTTCTGGAACGAAAAGGGCTATTCGGGGAGGGAATTCTGATGATGATGATTATTATTATTATCCAAAAAAAAAAAAGGGATTCACAACCCTAGATAGAGAAATTACGTGAGAAAGCAAGAGAGAGAGAGAGAGAGAGAGAGAAAAGGGGAAAAGGAAGAGTAATAAAGAGAAGGAGAGAGAACAAAAGACAGCTCAAGTATGTATGGGGGGAATCGAATGGATGGACCGATTCCAACGGCGTTATGTTTTATATATATATATATAATATATACAGAAATGCTTGTGTATGAACAGTTGCAAGTATGAACAGGATGAGAGAGAAAGGGAGTAAATTACAGGAGGAGGAGTTGGACCAATTGTTTGCTGAATGGGCAGCAAAAACTGGCAGCCATGAGAAGAGGAATGAAGAAAGAGGAGACGGAGGCTGAACGAAGCTGAAGCTAAATGCCAAAGCTTAAATTGTGATGGACATTGAATGATCTGTAAAGACTACTGGCATATAGGAGATTTTGCCCCATTTGAGCGCGTGAAGGCTACGACCAAAGCATCAGGTGACACTTGACAATTGGGTCATTACATTATATTTGGGTCTCCAGATTTTTATTTTTTTTGCGGAAAAAACCAAACTACATATAGATGCCACGAACTTCCTTTGAGGTTGGTTCGTTTAATGGTGCTGGCTTTCCCTACTTAGCTCAATTTAAGTAAAAGCTTGATTTCAGATGCTAAGTAAAGTCAGCAGGAACCTAGTTAAAGAATCTAACCAAACTTGAATACAGTTTTTTATATGAATTAATATTCTATACAGCGATGGTGTATGAATTTTTATTATTAAATGCGTGACACATAATTCGAATTTGAATTTGAAACTCAAATTTTGTATATGTGTCGTGCATCCAATCATAATAGTATATATACTGTCTAGTGTATATAAAATTTACTCTTTTTATATTTGCCTTTCCTATAATTCGCTTGAATGTTTTGCACTTACGAAATGTAAAACTTTTTGTCGGAATTATTTTCGTCGTTCGTTAATTAAAACTGTAACGTATGATTTGAACGAATGAAAACTTTATTTTACCCAACCAAAAAATGTTTTGCACTTAAACAACTCCTTTTAACAACAATTTCAAACAACTGAACATATCAAGTGAGCCTTGTTACCGTAGAAAGAAACTCTCGAATCTCAACATGTAAATAGCTAGCAAAAAAGGTATTACTACTGCTACTACAACAAAAAAAGTTGTGGGCCAATATATTTTTTTTAATACTATTATTAATATTCAGTAGTTTGAGGTTCGTTTGACCCAGCACAATGATGCACCAGGATCAAAACTTTGGTTTAAGAAAGAAGTGGTTTGAACGTCGTTGCCTGCCTGGAGCCTGGAGGAGTATTGTAGTCAAAGCTTAATCATGATAGCTGATGCAAGCAGTTGCCCACATAGACACAAAATCAATTAGTGTGTGTATATATATATATATATTATATTCCATTTATCCAATAAATGTAAGGTCTATTCCATCCCACATCAAAAGATTGCGGGGTAGTTACCCTGGGTTTAGGGTTCTCAACTGCACTTCCAGTTACCAATTGGCTGGATGGTGTTGGTTTATGGGCTCCGTTTTAGATTGTGCTTGCACCAGGATTTCGATTACCTTCGAGTGTTAATCTAACTTTGTTGGGTGTTTCTAGTACTTTCGATTGTTGAAAAAAATAAATATAAGGTCTATTTCTTTTTTCATACAGATTGAAAAATTAAGTTAATATAGTTACAACAATTATTTTGTATTCATACTTTCCTCAGATACCCCTTATTAACTGTTAATGTAGATCTAGTTATTAGTACTGTGTTTGATATTTCAAGTAGAATAATTAATTAATGGAGCCTATCTTTTTACGAGATAGGAGCGCGAGTATGATCTTCCTTCTTCTTCTTTTTTTAAAGTGCTCATTAACACAATGCTACTTACTGCTACCTTGATCAACAAAGTATCAACATTTGGGATAAAGAAACAAATGGTCGTCCTGACAATAAATCACTTGGTGCTTCAGGCAGAGAGAAAGTAAAAGTACCTACTCTTTTTGAGGGCCTAACCTAACATAGCCGCTGCTAATTGTAGAGAACCCACTTGGTGCCTCAGGCGATGATGCGCTTTGAGATGAAACCAATAATAATAATCCATGGGATGGGCGGAATGCAGGGCAAGAGTGCAGAAGTCGATTCGGAGAAACCAAGCATGGAAGGACGGTAGAGCAAAGTACCCCTTTTATTCTCTTGTTAATATAATGCACTCCGCGAAATGTCTTGTAATATTTAGCATGGCCCCCTCCCTCTTGAGATTTTCTTCAAATTCCCCAGTGCAAATGCAGTATATATCCTCTGAAACTAAATATGGTGTATTATGCCCTTTCTCCCATTTCCATACCGCGAATTAAACTAACATGCAAAGGTAAACAGTAAGCAGCAAAAGAAAACAAACACAAACACAAACACCACCTTTGTTTGATTGTCATTTAGTATGAGGAATGCAGCATAGCATTTATATAAGTGGCAAGTGAAAAGACAAGATAGGGATATGGGATGTTTCTTAGACGACCTGTAAGTTTGGGAAAAGGCAATTAGTTACAATCAGTCATTATAAATGCTTTCTAGGATATACTCACAACATATGTAACACCGATTATAAAGGCAGGTAACATATTCAACAATCGGAATCAGCGAACTGCTCAATTTATCATGATTAAAGTTTAGCACAACAGCCACTTTGGCTTGACCTTCGTCATTTTTTGCTTCACCATCATCATCTTCTCAGCATTTTCCCCCCTTGTGCAACAAAGGAATGGAAGAGCAACAGCCAAATATTACACATCTTAGAGGTGAAAGAAATAAACCTAAAGCCTAATTTTTGGAATTTGAACTGATTGAGACAAGAGTGTACTAGCATAACGTGTGGGATTGAGGGCAACTATTTTCTCGAGTTACCAAGAATTCTGGCCATAGAATATCGATCATTTTTTGTCCTGTATTCTCGCTTTCAGTGCTTCAATTACTGCTGAGAAGTCATCATCACTTAAACCGTGAGATTTTGCCACCTTGTAAAGTTCGTTTGCAGCTGCTGCAATTGGAGTTGATTGTGAAACTGATTCAGCTAGTCCTAATGCAAGCCGAAGGTCCTGCGATGATAAATTCCATTGATCAGAAGCCATTTTTGGACGATGCCTTCTTATTGATATAGTTGGGTTACAAACCTTTTGCTGATGTTTCAAGGGAAAGGCTGTAGGATAGAGGGATTTAACCATAGAAGGCCCTTTCATCGAGTACATTGGTGCGCTTATGGCACCCTGTGAGATAACCTGCAAAATGATATTTAGGTACCAGAATCAGCCAAGGTGTGGAATACTCTCATGAGTTGAGACATAGCTTAGAAAAATTGTCAAACCCTGTAATTAGAAGCAACGGACTGTTCTTGTCAGAGCTGAATATTGAAAGCATCCTGTAACAATAATCCAAGCAACTTATTACCTTCCTATTGTTTTCACTAGTGAAAAGTTCGTCTATTCATAACCCCGTTGAACATGAATATTCTGCTTTGCTAAATGAATATTGTTCGATGACTTTGTTAAATGAATTTGAGAAGGATGTCCAATAACCATATGACCTGTAATTTCATGATTGATTTCAGGGCTTTATGAATTTACATACAATCTTTGACTTAACTTCCATTACAAATTTATGCAGTCAAGATACCTTTATTACCTTCATTGCCCAACTTTGCAGGCAATAATCCACAAGACTATGTCTACCACCATTTATCTCCAAATTCTAATCTTTTAGACAAAGTCAATAGCGAAGTTCGCAAAGTTATTATTGCTTGCAGCTGGAGATTGGTATTTAAACTGATAAAAGTACATAATTTATCGACAAGAAACCACTTCTGTTCAGTATGAATAGAAAAAGGTGGTTTCCTACACAAAGTTGTACCTCAACCAGAACACTTGGGTCGAGTCCAACTTTTTCACTGAGGAGCAACCCTTCAGAAAATGATGCCATCATACTGCAATTGTTTCAAAAGACTGATTCAAGCAAAAGTTGCTTTACTTTCCATAAATAAGGAAAAAAACAAATAACAATATCTCAATAGCAAATTTGCATTACCTTCCCATGATCATGTTTACCACGAGTTTCATGGCAGCTCCATTGCCGACATCCCCAAGGTAAAATCTTGACTAAGATAATGACAAAGATAAACTAGTAATGGAAAAGAAGCATGTGTTTCCTATTCACCACAAATAGGGCAAAGCACCAACCTTTCCCATGATGTCCAATAGTGGACCAACCACTTCATATAGAGATCTGTCACCTGAAGAATTGCAGCCATGTCTACAGTTTAGAAAAGAAGAAAGACAATAACAAGATAGAATATTACCAAAACATCTTGGATGCCAAATGGACCCAAATCACTAATCAAGAACATGGGTTTTTACCCCACTATTTGCCTTTCTATTCAAAATTATGAAAATTTTGATACTTGTACTAGAATGTAAATAAGGAAAGCGATTTTCCAAAAAGTCTCAAGCACAAAATGTCTACTTAGTTATTTTAAAAATTAAAACTTACCTGCAGTAAGAAAAATGAGTTGTCCATCTTCTGCAGGCTTTTTGGAACCTGAAACTGGAGCCTGTTCAAGATATGACACAAATATAGAAGACCAATTATTTAGCAGTAGCCCAAGAAGTAACTGAAGAGACCTATAACTCAATTCATGTGATTAATTTTTGAATGAAGGTATATATCATAAAATCTACCTCCAAAAACTGGGCTCCTGTTGCTTTAATATGTTGACAAATCAATTTTGAAGTGTCACCATCAACTGTAGAGACATCTACATAACTGCAAGAAGCCATACAGGTTAGAATGCCAACAATATATCATGCACACAGAACACTGCATGCTCCTGGAAGTGAACTTCTTCAGTACCTTTTTTTTTCTTTTTTTTTTTGTGCAGTAGTCCAGCAAGGTATCTAAACACCTCCACTCTATGGTTTTCCAATGTGACTCCTAAAACAATATTAGCGTTCCTTAAATTGAGGATTTTACGTTGGAAAAAAATTACAAATTACATCTTTTAACACTTTATATGCCAAAAAAGGCATTTTCCCACAGTCAATAAATGTTACATAATTTTTCATTATAATATTGAATATCTTCAAATTCTCCACTCTTTTTTATTATCAAACTAAGATCTTCAATTAGGGATGGAGAAAGTAAATACATGAGTGTTGTATCAAATATCACATTCGTTCATAACAAAGCAGTTCATGCCAGCCTTTTCAGCAGAAGTCAATCGACAATAATTGAAAAACACAACATATTGTCTGTCCACAACCACTAATAATCAGATCAAATAACAGAATATTAGTTTCAGTTAAAGGTTCAGTACCCTTTTCCTGGACCCATTCCTCTAGCAGCT